TCATTCTGTATCATTGTACTGAGAGGTGACTACGCTGTCATTGTATCATTGTGTATCATTGTACTGAGAGGTGACTACGCTGTCATTGTATCATTGTACTGAGAGGTCATGCATTGTATCATTGTACTGTATCATTGTACTGAGAGGTGACTACGCTGTCATTGTCATTGTATCATTGTGTATCATTGTACTGTATCATTGTTGTACTGAGAGGTGACTACTGTCATTGTATCATTGTGTATCATTGTACTGAGAGGTGACTACCCCATCATTGTATCATTGTGTATCATTGTACTGAGAGGTGACTACCCTGTCATTGTATCATTGTGTATCATTGTACTGAGGGTGACTACCCTGATTGGTGTCATCTGTATCATTGTGTATCATTGTACTGAGAGGTGACTACCATTGTATCTGTATCATTGTACTGAGAGGTGACTATCATTCTGTATCTGTACTGAGGGGTGACTACCCCGTCATTGTATCATTGTGTATCATTGTACTGAGGGGTGACTATGCTGTCATCGTATCATTGTGTATCATTGTACTGAGAGGTGACTACCCTGTCCATATGTCATCGTGTGTATCATACTGTGACTACACTGTCATTGTACATTGTACTGAGGGGTGACTACCCATCATTGTGTATCATTGTGTATCTGTACTGAGAGGTGACTACCCTGTCATTGTATCATTGTGTATCATTGTACTGAGAGGTGACTACCCCATCATCGTATCATTGTGTATCATTGTACTGAGAGGTGACTACCCCCATTGTGTCATACTGAGAGGTGTATCATTGTGTATCATTGTACTGAGAGGTGACTACCCCATCGTATCATTGTGTATCATTGTACTGAGAGGTGACTACCCCGTCATCGTATCATTGTGCATCATTGTACTGAGGGGTGACTACCCCCATCGTATCATTGTGTATCGTGTATCATTGTACTGAGAGGTGTATCATTGTGTACTGAGGGGTGACTACCCCATCATCGTATCAAATTGTGTATCATTGTACTGAGAGGTGACTACCCATTGTGTATCATCGTATCATTGTGTATCATTGTACTGAGAGGTGACTACCCCATCATCGTATCATTGTGTATCATTGTACTGAGAGGTGACTACCCCATCACGTATCCCTGAGAGGTGACTACCCCATCATCGTATCATTGTGTATCATTGTACTGAGAGGTGACTACCCCATCATCGTATCATTGTGTATCATTGTACTGAGGGGTGACTACCCCATCATCGTATCATTGTGTATCATTGTACTGAGAGGTGACTACCCCATCATCGTATCATTGTACTGAGAGGTGACTACCCCATCATTGGTATCATTGTGTATCATTGTACTGAGAGGTGACTACATCGTATCATTGTGTATCATTGTACTGAGAGGTGACTACCCCCATCATCATCGTATCATTGTGTATCATTGTACTGAGAGGTGACTACCCCCATCATCATGTGTATCATTGTGTATCATTTGTATTGACTGAGGTGACTACCCCATCATCGTATCATTGTGTATCATGGTACTGAGAGGTGACTACCCCATCATCATATCATTGTGTATCATTGTACTGAGAGGTGACTACCCCATCATCGTATCATTGTGTATCATTGTACTGGAGGTGACTACCCCATCATCGTATCATTGTGTATCATGGTACTGAGAGGTGAGAGGTGACTGTACTGAGAGGTGACCCCATCATCGTATCATTGTGTATCATGTACTGAGAGGTGACTACCCCATCATCGTATCATTGTGTATCATTGTACTGAGGGGTGACTACCCCATCATCGTATCATTGTGTATCATTGTACTGAGGGGTGACTACCCCATCATCGTATCATTGTGTATCATGGTACTGAGAGGGTGACTACCCCATCATCGTATCATTGTGTATCATTGTACTGAGAGGTGTACCCCATCATCATCATTGTGTATACTGAGATTGGTGACTACCCCATCATCCTATCATTGTGTATCATGGTACTGAGAGGTGACTGCCCCATCATCGTATCATTGTGTATCATTGTCAAAGAACATTTCCACCAAACAACATGAGCATGAATAGTCCAATAAAACATAAAATAACAAAACCAGCTTTTTGCTGCAATTCAGTTTCAATTCGGAGATATCCAATTCCTGCCACAAAATGTCTTCAGTCTGATAGCCCCTATCATTCATTCTGCACTGTCTGATCCCAAGTTGTCCTGGACCCACCCCAGCCTGTGATTGGACAGAGGAAATAGAAACAGCACACTGATAAGTGCATCTCTGTGTCACTCTGCTCCTTCCTCCTATCAGCATGCTTCTTTCAGTATATGAACTGATAAGCTCCTTGTGCTGCTTCTTTCTCTCACGGTCTCATACTGGTGTACAGAAACTGCCGAGGGCTGACACCAGGTTATATTTAAGTATTTACAGCTGCTTGCATTTAAAAATACAGCTGACTAATGATTACAGAGCTGTATTATAATTGCTTAGTGTTCTGCTGTAATTCTGGCTAGGCAGGCCCTCAAGCTACATAGTTGTTCATAGACCTAAATGAGATTGCAGGGCGTTGGAAACATTTATGTTTCTCCATTTTACTAACTTTGTCTGGCACTTCAGCTTGAGTGTCAGGAGTTAAAGGTCTGCTGAAGTTGATAGCATGTCAATTGCCTGGCCTTATATACTATTAACCAGGGGCAGACTGACCATTTGGGTCAGTAGTTGGCCCCATGAGATGCCCCTGGTACCTTTTTCATAGGCTTTTTTGAGTTTGGACAAGGACACAGGGGCCCCATGATCCCCTATTGCCTGGGGGCCCCATGAGTTGTCAGTCCACCCCTGCTATTAACTAGATCCTAAATGCACATAACAGTTTTAAATAACTGAGCCCTGCAGTTAGACTATGCAAACCCCAACTTTGTTTATGTGTTCCCATTGGTTTGTTAATTTTACAATTTAAAGTATTGGTCTTAGCAGGTTGGAAGTAGAAAAAAAATACCTGTTGATCCTGCCAGAAAGCTTGTGAGCAGATAACTTCCTGTGCTGACTCTTATCAGTTTTCATTGTTCCCCATTCTCTCTGTGGACAATAGAGCAACCCCCCCCCCCTTATGTTATGGAGAAGAGAATAATCGGGAGTGTCCTGTAGTCCTAAAACACTTCTTGTTCTAAGGTGACAACACTGGTCCTCATAGATACAATTCAGTGAGTGAACATTGTCACCCTAGGACAGGAAGTGTGTAACTGGAAGGATCACCAGTTGAAAATGAATGATGTACCACAGGGTGACATGCTGAGGATGTAGTGATGGATGATAATGGGGGATTGGGAATCCCATTCTCCAATGGAAATGCCTCTTCTATGTTTTCTGATGACATCTATTGTTGGAGATCTATCAAAGCTGTTTGTGTATTCATTATATTGCTTGGAAGTTTCCTGGCCTCTGCATTCTCTATGTTTGTTTGGTGAAATGTATAGTAATTGGTTGCTAGTTTTAACAATCCCATCTCAGATATGTAGATGGGTGCTGCTTCCATTTTGGAGGTGGACATTCTTGACCTGTGTCACCTGGCAGCAGCATGGGAAGTTACTGGTACCCATCCTGGATGCAGCTGCCTGTGGAAACTACATTGAAGAAGTGAACAGGATCCAATGTGTACCACCAGCTGCATTCGACTGTTGATTGGACCAATGGGAACACATTCTTTACAGAGACAGTGTATGGTGATATCTGCAATCCTTTGCTAAAATCTGCTCACTGAACAAGATGGGATAGATCACATTCATATCAATATATTTGTTCTAAAAAACTCCCATCACTTTCCCACCACCAATCAGATTCTATCTTGAAAAATGACAGATGGACCATACATTCCAAGAAGTCATAAAGCTTTGCTTAGGAACATATTCCAGTGTTAAGCTGGTAGCACAGTCTCAGGTTTTGGATCAAAAGGCTCCATAACTGCTGGATATGGGTACTAAGTTGGTTTCCTTTTATACTTATAAGTAACCAAACAGTGGAGTTTTTTCCCAAAAAGGTGTGATTTTATCAAGCTGGGAATTGCTGGGTATTATTTGGGCATCCACAGTGGTAGTGAGGGATCCTGCAGCAATCTACCCTTAGTACGCTTATAACCCAAGGGCATCCCTGCTTGAAAACTAAGAATAACTGTCTGCCCTAGTTGATGTCAATGGAGCTCCTAGATGTACTGAGTATTAAAAACTGAAACCACTGTATACCAATTGATGGGTAGATCATCTAAAAAGATAACCCACAAAATGATTTGTGTTGTCTAGTTTGTGAACCAGTTTAAGTCAGCCATTCTTATCCAGAGTTCTGGTATATACTAGGGTTCCTCCAGAGGTTTCTACGAGGTTTATTGAGCTGTGGCTGATTAACTTCCTGATTATTGGTGTCTGCAAGGTTCCAGAGTCAACGCAACTTGGTAGAGCCAGCTGCATGACACCAATGATCTTTTAAACCTTCTGAATTCTTCCCCCTGACCATAAATAAATGGTAGGGCATTCTTCCCACTGATGACCAATGTAAGGGATATTCTTCCCACTGATCAGCAATGTAAGGGACATTCTTCCCACCGATGACCAATGTAAGGGATATTCTTCCGACCGATGACCAATGTAAGGGATATTCTTCCCACTGACCACAATGTAAGGGACATTCTTCCCACTGATCACCAATGTAAGGAACATTCTTCCCATTGACCACCAATGTAAGGGATATTCTTCCCACTGATCAGCAATGTAAGGGACATTCTTTCCACTGATCACCAATGTAAGGGACATTCTTCCCACTGATCACCAATGTAAGGGACATTCTTCCCACTGATCACCAATGTAAGGGACATTCTTTCCACAGATCACCAATGTAAGGGACATTCTTCCCACTGATCACCAATGTAAGGGACATTCTTCCCACTGATCACCAATGTAAGGGACATTCTTTCCACTGACCACCAATGTAAGGGATATTCTTCCCACTGACCACCAATGTAAGGGACATTCTTCCCACTGATCACCAATGTAAGGGATATTCTTCCCACTGATCAGCAATGTAAGGGACATTCTTCCCACCAATGACCAATGTAAGGGACATTCTTCCCACTGATCACCAATGTAAGGGACATTCTTCCCACTTACCAATGTAAGGGACATTCTTCCCACTGACCACCAATGTAAGGGATATTCTTCCCAATGATGACCAGTGTAAGGGGCATCCTTCCTACTGATCACCAACATAAGGGACATTCTTCCCACTGACCACCAATGTAAGGGACATTCTTTTCAGTGTTCACAAATGTAAGGGACATTCTTCCCACGGATCACCAATGTAAGGGACATTCTTCCCACTGACCACCAATGTAAGGGGCATCCTTCCCACTGACCACCAATGTAAGGGACATTCTTCCCACGGCTCACCAATGTAAGGGACATTCTTCCCACTGACCACCAATGTAAAAGGCATCCTTCCCACTGACCACCAATGTAAGGGACATTCTTCCCACTGACCACCAATGTAAGGGACATTCTTCTCAGTGATCACAAATGTAAGGGACATTCTTCCCACCGATCACCAATGTAAGGGACATTCTTCCCACTGATCACCAATGTAAGGGACGTTCTTCCCACTGATCACCAATGTAAGGGTCATTTTTCCCACCACCAAAACCCAATGAGTTGGATTTAACAAGGGTACCCTGGACCAAGACCTGAAAATTATTTCAAGGTGTCCTGTAGGGTAAAAAGGTTGAGAAGAGCTGGTCTAGGTGCTGTTGTATTGGAGACAGTTTCCCCTTGAAGCATAATTGATTTAATTTGAAAGAAATACAAGGCTTCCCAATTACAAATGTGTATCTTTTATGAGTATCAATTCCTTTAGCTGCCAAGCCTGTATAAACCAGTGCGGTGTTGCTATTCTCTGGTTCTCCTTATAATGTAAAGTTATGGACATTGTACTCTGTGGGGGTGGGATCAGGTGTACTCTATGAGGGTGGGATCAGTGCAAGCCTGATCAATGAGAGTATAAGGTGAAGAGCCGGCAACTCTTTCTCCCGCTAAAAGGACTTTATTAATAAAAGGTACAGTGTGCAAGTTCCTGTAGCTACTGTTGCACATTGTACCCTTTAATAATAAATTACTTTTATCGGGAGAACGAGTTGAAGGCTCTTCACCTTATACTCTCATTGATCAGCCTTGCACTGATCCCACCCTCAAAGAGTACACCTGATCCCACCCCCACAGAGTACTTATACTCTCATGCTGTTTAAAGTGCCAGGAAGACACTGTGAGCTTTGGAGCACCAATGGTCTGTCTATCTCCAAGGGAAATCAACATATTGTAGTTGTACACTTTAGTTTCAAGGCTGATCAATAATGAATATTAGCTAGGAAGACAGGCTCCAGCCCCTCCCCTTTCTTGCATAGGAATTTTTAGAACAATATAGTTTTAGAATTGGTTGTGAGAGGTTTTCTTTGGACCATTGCTGAAGCAATACCCATTATAAACCACACAGGATGCCATCAGAAGAGAGAAAAGACTCTAGCACCAAGAAAAACTGGAATTCTGGTGCATTTGGACACTATACCAAATCGGGGGAATTCAAAAGACAACTTTTTCCAACAAGGGACTTTTACTGAAAGTGGTGGCAGAGCCGGGTTATCTCTGAGAGGTCCACTCTACATGTGTAAACCACTTAGCTGAAGAATGTCTACAGCTAATACCCCTTGTGTCCTCCATCTACAGCAAACAGCACAGGGCAAACATGGCCTATCTATAGTAAACTGCAGCCTTGTCATGTGGGATTCTCTCCCATGGCAGGAATGGCACCCTTTAGGCAGCATGAAAGAGAACCCAGAGCTGTAAAAGCATTCCCATGCAAGCTCTACAATAGAAGATCCTTCACTGCCAGAAATTCAACCAGACATAAAGGTTTTAGTTTCCTATAGAGTAAGGTAAGGCTAGATCCCCTGACAAGCCTCATCTAAAGAAAACGGCACTATAATGGTACAATAATGTCCACTTTAAGTATGAAGCCACTTTAAGCACAAACATTTTTGTCATTTTGTGTATCCTTGACCAAAAATGTTGTTGTGGATGGAGTATGGAAAGAATTACATCCCCTGTCTGGTTTTTATTGATGTCTGTATCCCTGCTGGGACAACTCAGCCTCTCTATTTATCCTAGTGGTCATTGCCACTGGGAAAGTAAGTGGTTGCCAATCCAACATTTTACTGTTCTCACCAGAGCAAGAGCGAACATCTTCCAATGAAGACACATATATATACTAAATGGTTAGCACTTCCGCCTGGCAGTACTCGAGTCATCGGTTCAAATCCCAACCACGGCACCACCTGCCTGGAGTTTGCATGTTCTCGCTGTGCCTACGTGGGTTTCCTCCGGGTACTCCGGTTCGCTCCCACGCTCCAAAGACATGCTGGTAGGTTAATTGGATCCTATCTAAATTGGCCTTAGTATGTGTATGTATGAATGTGAGTTAGGGACATTAGATTGTACACCCCTTAACCCTTTGAGGACCAAGGGACGTATTTGTCCCATGTTTTTAATTGCCTGTATCATCTGATTAAAAACTTAAAATACTTTTTTTTTTGGTTAGAGTCAAAATATTAGTTCTTATCAACAAATGGATCTAGCTTTTTGCCAATTATTTCATGAAATGGCTTAGTTACAGCAACTGAAGTGTACGAACTTTAAAAACAAAAAATTGATTCTTTTGGCGTTCCATAATCTTATGGTCCTTAAAGGGTTAAGGGTTAGGGACTGATGTGAATGTACAATATATATATGTAAGGCGCTGCGTAAAATTGACGGCGCTATATAAGTACCTGAAATAAATAAAAAAAATATATATATATATAATATTCTTCTTAAATATATTGACATATATTTAAAATACATGGAAATACTACAAGTTTGGCCGTATTCAATATATTTAAAAAAAATTATATATATATATATATATATATATATATACAGTATATATATATAAATTATTATTTTTTTTTTTTTTTAAATATATTGACTACGGCCAAAATTGTAGTAATTCAAATATATGTCAATATATTTGTGAAGAATATTTTTAAGATATATCTAAAATATATTTTTCTTCCATGTGGGTATATATACACTTCAATATAAATTTTTCTTCAACTCAGAAGTGCAAAATGAGATTCCACCCACACCATAAGCTTAGGTTGAGCATACAATAAAATAAAAAAGCAGCGAAAGCCTTGTGTCAAAATGATTTGTACATCTAGATTTATAGACAGATGGAACTATAGGCAAATGGTGACTTTTCCAGTAAAAGTGAAGTTTGGTCCTGACCTCTATTGGTCATTGAGGTCACCCATCACAATAATGCGCTAATAAGGAATCTTTGGAGGTGGATCCTATTTGACTTTTACAGAACAGGTTTGCATCAGACATATACCGATGGTTGTCGGTAAAGTTGGTGTGAATTTAGATATGTCCTTGAATTTTGGCCAGAGGTCTCGCCCTGTTGCAGACAGCACCTTAGCATTTCAGTTTCCCCATTAACTCATTGTGAGTTTACTTTCCAGAGAAAGTTACTGCTGAGTGGTCCATACAATGCTCTCTGATAAACATCCTACAGACTAATATTTGCAGTCAGATAGTATGTGAAATGGACACGGATCATTGCAGTGCTAGATATGGATGTGGTGATTGTCTTCTCCTATAGATCTAATGGAAAACACATCATTTCTGGAGTGCGCTGTGTACAGGGAGCTGTCTATTGTTGGGTGTGATCTATTTGTTTCCACATCAGTGTTAGTGATTTATGGCTTGTAGGGTTAGAATGGTGATTCTCACTTTTTCTAAGAATACAATACGGTGCTGCACTTGTAAGCTAAAATCGTCTGTTCTTAAAAATTCCCAGTTTAATAAATGAAAATAGTAGTCTAGAGATTGAAGCTAAGTGAAGCGGTGGCACAGTGGCTTAGTGGTTAGCACATCTGCCTTGCCGTAAATGGGTCATGGGTTCAATTCCCAACCATGGCGCCTCCTGCATGGAGTTTACATGTTCTCCCTGTGCTTGTGTGGGTTTCCTCCAGGTGCTCCGGCTTCCTCCCACACTCCAAAGACATGCTGGTAGGTTAATTGGATCCTGTCTAAATTGGCCCTAGTATGTGTATGTAAGTTAGGGACCTTAGATTGTACACTCCTTGAGGGTTAGGGACTGATGTGAATGTTCCATATATATGTAAAGCGCTGCATAAATTGACAGCATTATATAAGTACCTGAAATAATAAGTGGATATTGTGTAAATACAAGAGCCGTGTGTATTAATATTTAATCTTGATGTGATTTGGTGTATTTCTTCCAGATCTGAGCAGTAATCCAGTGTGACACGTTTTCTCTGTAATAAAGACCAGTCACTGCTGATCTCTCTCCTTGTGAGGGGTAACTGGTCTTGTCTCCGCCCACTCCTGTAGTTTTCTGTGGGTGGAACATGTTGGGTCCCTCCCACAGCTCTGCTGTCTGCACAGGCTATATACAGCACAGTGATGGGGTAAAATATGGGCTTGCTTAGACATTTGGTGGTCAGCAGTGGATTACTGGTATACCCTTTATGGCTATTGAGAATTATATTTAAATACAAGTATCTGTGCCTGAAGTATAGCATTAAAGGAGACATATCATGTTGCCTATTCAGGAAAAAAAATAGCTTTCCTTTATTGCTTACCTCCTCTGCTACTAATACTTACTTTCCCTGCACTCCCTCACGAAATCCCTACACAAAAATTAATTTTTATTGAAAATATTTTTGCATGCAATGAAAAAAAAGCAATGCAAAATATAAAGCCTATATTCAGCTCAGTAGGACATTTTCTTTTCTTTTCTTTTTCATTAATTTTTAGTGAAAATATTTTTGCATACAAGGAAAACTAGGAAGCAATGCAAAATATAGAGCCTATATTCGGCTCATTAGGATGTTTTCTTTTCTTTTCAAATAGTTTTTATTGAAAATATTTTCGCATCCAATGAAAAATAAGAAGCAATGCAAAATATAGTGCCTATGTTCCGCTCAGTAGGATATTTTTTTTTTCTTTTCCATTCATTTTTATTGAAAGTATTTTTGCATACAATGAAAAATAACAAGCAATGCAAAATATAGAGCCCATATTTGGCTCAGTAGGATATTTTCTTTTCGAATAGTTTTTTTATTGAAAATATTTTTGCATACAATGAAAATTAAGAAGCAATGCAAAACATAAAGCCTATATTCGGCTCAGTAGGATATTTTCTTTTCTTTTTCAATAGTTTTTTTATTGAAAATATTTTTGCATACAATGAAAAATAAGAAGCAATGCAAAGTATAGAACCTATATTCGGCTCAATAGGATATTTTCTTTTCTTTTCCATTAATTTTTAATTAATATATTTTTGCATACTATGAAAAATAAGAAGCAATGCAAAGTATAGAGCCTATATTCAGCTCAGTAGGATATTTTCTTTTCTTTTCCATTAATTTTTATTAAATATTTATGAAAAAAAATTCTGCAACAATTTCTTTTTATTGAGGAGCAGAAATTGCTATCTCCACCAGTCAGGGTGTGACTCTCTTCAAATGGATTTGGATGATTAAAG